TTTTTTTTTTTTTTTTTTTTTTTTGGTTTGTTGGTTTTGTTCTCAATAGGTCACTGTCTTGGTGTTTTGGCATCTTGGATTGTTCAAGTCAGCATTGATGTCTATCGTTTTTTCTCTTCTCTAACTAAAGCTCCACAAGAAGACGAGATAATTGATACAGCAGATCAGCTTGAGATTCTAGGGAAGAAGGTTTACGGTGCCACCATTAGGTGCGGAAGCTCTCTCATCTTTGCATCTATTGGTGCTGGGATTGGGGCACTGTTGATTCGCCCTTCAACTGGACAGTGGATAGGTATACTTTGTACATATATACTGTGTACTTGAGAAAACTGGTAAAAAAGAATTTACTAATTTATGCATGATTGTTTCCCATCTAAATTCAATGCATTTTGTACAACTTTGGCAGGATGTGCGGTTGGGGATTTATTGGGACCCATTGTCGTTGCATTCTGTTTCGAGAAGTTTCATTTGGACCTCTGAGCTACGCAGCTGGCTAGGAATGTGCCCAGAACACATCAACATATTCTTAAGAAGTCATCTAAGGTTTCCTTTATATAAAGGACGGTTCCTGCAATGACTATGACCAAAAACTTGAAAATTGTATGTTTTTGTTTTTTGAATTGTCTTCGTGTTTTTTTATTTTATTTCTTTTATTTTCTTTATCCTCGTTTTCGTCGAACTTCTACATAATTTTTGGCCCTTTTGGAATTCGACAAAGTGGATTAAATTATAGAAAACTCCCAGTAGTTTTTCTCATGAGAGGAATTGAGCTCTGTCTTGGTTTTCTAGTTCAATAGATGTCATGTGTAATGGTTAATTAGGGCTATTTTCTGGTAAAACTATCTTACATACTTTTTCGTTATCAAATGCTTTCATCATTGTTTGGATTTGTTTTCGCATCTCCTATTGTATTTCGAGCTAACCGACATTATATCTTTTAAGAGATACAATTCATCTATTAAGTGACATCAACTTGTACAAATAGGTAAGTTTATTTCATTACTTTTTCATCATTTATAAGAATATTTCAGTCCTCAACTCGAGATGGTCGATCTACGTCTGATCGAGCTAAGTAGCTCGGTCACCTATGCTCTGACTAATGCAGGCTTACCGAGCCAAAACTGCCTTTTAGGTTGTTACTCGGCTACCATAGGTCTAAGTCGAGCATCTAACAGACTATCACAGTCTTAACTTGACATGGTTCTACTCTTCCTTGGTTCAATCTTATCTCCATTCTACCGACCCGGTTCCAAGCTGTCCGAACCACACTCTGAGCCAACCCTGTTCTAATCAAGCTACGAGTTGTGTCCGAACAACCGAGATGCTTTTGAGTTATTCGAGCACCGACGATTGGTATATCAAAACCAAAAGGTCAACATCCAAGAAGGGTTATAGAAAAGCTACGGGTCTATAGTCTACCAATACGAGTTTTCAGGTAAACAATGGTAGAAAAGTAATCGGTCTATAATCTACAAGATGAGTTTTGAAGTAAACAATGGTGCAAATCCGCCCAGTGGAAACTTGATATTCCGAGGACTTTGGGAATATCAAGCTTGTGGGATTCAAATATCAAACAAGCAAGCTGCAAATTGGGGAATAATCAACTTCAATGCTCTGGGTAAGAGATTTGATGCCTTTCTGACTTGTTTGGCCAATTGAATTTCTCTTATTTGCTAGACAACTTCATCGCACGATAAAAACTAAAAGGCTAAAAAACATACCACCAACTGGGCAAACAAAACAGTGTTAAATTCGAAATAAAACTTCACTTAACAAGCAGAGTACGGCAGCTCAGTCCATAAATCACACCTAATTATAACAAAAGATTACATAATAACTTCACCTTAATAAATACAGGAGTCTTTCAAGTTTCACCCACCTAGGACATTCACCTCTAAATTTCTAATTAAAACATCTGAAACTTGGATGTATAATGCTTAGAGGGCAGTATGCACATCCAATTTCTGCAGCAAACAAATAAAATCAAAGTATTTAGAGCAATCTTACAATAGCTCAGATGACTAAACCCAAATCTGCAATTGCAATACTAGGAGAAAATTTTGTACACGCCGGGTTTTAGATTTCTCAATGTGGATGATGATGCATGCATATAAAAAAAGACACAGGAAAAGTAATTACTATACAGCAGAGAAAGATAGAGCATTACGCTTAGTTCCAGGAATCAAGACTGACAGGGTAGTTAGCACGTAACCGTAACCATCCTCCAAATACATTTCAGCAAACAAAATTACTTCTTCATAGCTATCAAAACCTTGTTCAGTGAGTTCAGCACGTTGGGGCCGCTTAGCCACAAAGTTCATATGCGTCCAAGTTGTTTCCTTTTCACGGAAGTCCTTACCAAGACCAGTGCTTTTAAACGTCTGGCGCTTCCAAGCCCTCCCAAACTCCAATTTCGTTCCCTAATTCACATAAAGAAAAAAAAGAAAACAAAAAAAATTATGCAAGACTCTGACTGAGGGAGAAAGAAAAGGAAGATGAAAAGGGACAGAGAGAACAGAAACATGTTGCTGATTGTATTCCTTCAAAGCAAATTCCGCCATGGCAGCATTTTCCTGTTTTTGTCGTTTGGTCAATTTCCCGTAACAATCAACATTACGCTTGCACACCTTGCATCCAATAACAGATTCAACTGTTTGCCTCTATATAGATTACTACAGTAAATCGAATTCAGAGAACTAATTAACTGGCTTTTATACCTTCATATTATGAAGATAAATGCTACATAACAATTCAAGGTTACAAAAAGGGATTGGCATTACAAAACCTTCAAAAGCAACCTCACGTTAAAGGTGGAAACTATACAAATGCTACCCAAAACTTAACAAAAAATAGTAACAACACGTTAATACAAGCTACAGAAACGAGAAGTACCTCACTTACCCAGCAGATTTCATGGACCTTGTCAGGACAGTACTCATGTTCCAGGCTGCTTCCACCGGGCAATCATCAATGACACCAGCACGAAATAGATGAAATAGAATGCGAATTTTACACGGATATGCACACAACCATGCACTGTATCAGGCATCAAATAATTCAATATTTAAGAAATAAAGATACACACAACTGTATTTTGATAGTAGACAGAACCACCAGAATCACTTGATAATATGCATGTACTAAGCATTGGATGTTTATAAAAAGGAAATGAAATGGAAAAAATATGACTGAGGAGCACAAAAATAAAGGTGGACGAGCATTTACAATTATCTTCAGGCTTCAAGAATACCAACCGTGTAGGAACTGTGTCTCTAATTTATAATAAGTCGTATACCATTCGGCAAACAAAATGAGTGGTTTATCAGAGGCATCAGGATGTTCTCGCTCAGCCACCGAGTTAATATGATGCCATATTGGACGCGTTCTCTCAAAGTCCACAACCACGGAACGATGCATGAGATTCATAATTCAAAAGCTTTGAAAGTACCAAGTTAGTCCGCTACAAGTTTAAAAAAATATATAAATCAAACTTATAAACCGAATAGCGATATGATATAAAATAAGATCAGAGAGAACAACAACATGTTTCCAACAACATGTTTCCCGTTGTATTCTCTCAGTGCAAGTTCTGAATATCCATGAAATTCTTCCTCCACACGCTGTTCACTGCACATGTCACGGCATATGTTACACATGGAAAGCAAATACACATTATTATTAATAAGAGAGGGAGAGAGAGAGAGAGTTTACAAACAGCAGGTGCCCAAGATACAATAAACTAGCTACTCAAAGTAGTTCCAAACCCTAGTAAGCTCTGGTCAACAATCAGATCAAGACAGAATTACTCAATAAATCGGATAAACAATTGAATAAATTCCAGTACGGTGCCGCTTATGAACTCGTCGACATTCATGATTCAATTTCACACGAAAATAATGTGCATGTGCAGCTCGCCTCCAATTAACATATCATATCTTAAATCTAAACTATCGAAAAAACCGCAGAGCAAATAACACGAACAATCAATTCATGGCGTATAAAATCAGGAACACGAACTTACCGCTCACGTCTGGATTTAGGATCTTCTTCTCCGGGGTACTTAGAGAGCTTCACCCCAAACATTGGAAATCCAGAATCAGTATCCACAATCTTGGCCATTGATGGCCGGAATTTCTCGGACCGAACCAAACGCGATTCTAGGATTAGATATACGTCGCTCACCCTTGTTTTTTTATCGACATTACATTTTATAATTTATATTTTATACACATATATTTCTTCAGATTTGCATTTATAACCACAACTTTAGTTTACAATTTGACCATGTCATATGTTCACCATTTTTGTTTTTATTTTTTGGCCCCAACAAGTTGACAAATAGAAGACCCGATTTCTACAGTGGGACTGTCCCACAGCTTAGTCTAAGGTTTTTTTTTTCTCAATTGGGTATTTCAATCAAGGTTCTTATGTGAAGTCATCCAACGGGACGTGAATATTTTCAACTATTTGTTTGTGATGCAATCATATGGGAGCAAATTTGCATGCAACATACCAAATCCATATAAATGAATTAGTGAAACAACAAAACATTATTGTTCTCTAGTAATTGTTTTTTTTTGTATTCACAGCAACGTGTAACATGCACGCGTTCTTGACATTGATAGAGATGAAACTACGGCTCCGGGAACCCACCAGAGAGAAGAAACTTCAGATCGGCCCACTCTCGGTCGAGCATGTTCTCGACGGGTTTTCTAGGTTGCCCACCTTGCTGAGAGGAAAGATGTAAGTGTTGGAATCAGCGATTTCATCACAGGACACGCGGTGGTGTTCAAGCTGACTACATGTGTGGTCAGTTAAACGGACATATGGACTGTTATACCACATGTCGTGCAAAAAAATTTGAGAGGGTCCTAATGGAGCGGAAAGTTCCCCGTGTGTACGCTGCGAATCACAGGTAACTTGTAAACAAATCAAACGTTTTCGACTCGTAATTGCGATTCGTAAACATTTAAATTCGAATAAGAATAGTGTTTAGGATTATAAACGTATTCTGAATATTCGATTCGAAATTATCGATTATACGATAATAATGTATAAATTTAACATATTATATATAATATAATATTTTATTTATATAAAAATATAAAACTCAAAAATATTTAACAAAATCATACTTAATTTATTTTAAAAATACATATTATATTAAAAAATATATAAATAATTTCGAAAAACGAATTTCTATTCGATTATCTTAATCGAATACGATTCACAAACTAAATTCGATAAAGAATCGAATACGAACACAAATAATCAAATTTTCACAAATTTGAATCAAATCGTTTTCGATTCCATTAAATTACAACTCTAAACCTTAATCACAGGACGATGATAAGAGGGCTATTTCCAAATGCGGAATTTGTGGAGGTCATCAAAAGACAGGTTATGGAGAATGGACCGGTGATTGTGGCTTTATATGAGAAGCTTGGCTTTAATGCTTTGTCCCGGAGGGAAATATAGGGCCCCACAGTGCCGCTTGTAGAGGTTGGAGGATCTTACAGTTGGCATGCGACCTTACTCATTGGTTGGGGCCATCACGAAGGGCGTGATTTTTTCGAAATTCAGAATACTCACGGAAGTGAATGGTCAGATCATGGCTTCGGGCGGATTCTTGTAGAGGATGTTGAAAAGTGTTATCTCTGGGATGTGGTGAGGAGGTAAAAGGGTTGTTGATTTTCATGAGATTTTGAGTGAAACATTGCTTAGTTTGTTGCTAAGGAATGTTTCACTCAACAAACTAAGCAATGTTTCACTCAAAATATCATCTCATGAAAATCAGAAACTCTTTTACCTCCTCACCACATCCCAAAAATAACACTCTTCAACATCCTCTACAAGAATCCGCCCGAAGCCATGATCTGACCATTCATTTTTGTGGATATTCTGAATTTCGAAAAAATCACGCCCTTCGTGATGGCCCCAACCAATGAGTAAGGTCGCATGCCAATTAAAAGATCCTCCAACCTCTAATAGCGGCACTGCGGGGCCCAATATTTCCCCTCGGGACAAAGCATCAAAGCCAAGCTTCTTACAGAAAGCCACAATCACCGGTCCATTCTCCATAACCTCCCTTTTGATGGTCTCCAAAAATTCCGCATTTGGAAAAGACCCTCTTATCATCGTCCTGTGATTAGGGCTTAAGGTTGTAATTTAATGAATCGAAACGAGTACTCAACGATTTGATTCAAATTCATGAAAATGTTTGACTATTTGTGTTTGTATTCGATTCCTTATCGAATTTAGTTTGCGATTCGTATTCGATTTGATTAAGATAATCGAATATATTCGACACGACTAGAAATTCATTTTCAAAAATTATTTATAAATATATAAATCTATTTATATATTTTTGAAATATATTTTTTGAATATAATATGTATTTTAAAATAAGTATGGTTTGTTAAATATAAAAATATTTTTTGAGTCATATTTATATATATTATAATATAAATAAAATTTTATATTATATATAATATGTTAAATTTATACATTATTATAGTATAATCGATAATTTCGAATCGAAAATGTGCATATTATATTCCGAATACGTTTATAATCCTAAACACTATTCTTATTCGAATTCGAATTTAAATTTTTACGAATACAAATCATAATCACGAATGAAAATGTTTGACTTGTTTACAACTTACCTGTGATTCGCAGCGTACACGCGGATAACTTTTTGCTCCATTAGGACCCTCTCAAATTTTTTTGCACGACGTGTGGTATAACAGTCATTTTGTCCATTTAACGGACCACGTGTAATTAGATTAGAATACCACCCCGTGTCCTATGATAAAATTGTTGTTGATCCCAACACTTACATCTTTCCTCTCAGCAAGGTGGGCAACCTGACCAAACCCGTCGAGAACATGCTCGATCGAGAGTGGACCGATCTGAAGTTTCTTCACTATGGTGGGTTTCCGGAGCCGTAGTTTCATCTCCATCAATGTCAAGAGCGCGTGCATGTTACACGCGTTGTGAATACATTAAAAAAAACAATTACATCGTATTTAGAGAACAATAATATTTTGTTGTTTCACTAATTCATTTATATGGATTTGGTATGTCGCATGCAAATTTGCTCCCATATGATTGCATCACAAACAAATAGTTGAAAATATTCAAGTCTCGTTGGATGACTTCACATAATCAATGTTGCTCGAGGAAATTAAAGGTGCTATAAAGATGCAATAATACTATCATGAGTTGTATTCTTTTTTGGTTGTCACTGAGTGCACTAATATATAAAGATGCAATAGTACTAACATGAGTTATATTCTTTCTCGGTTGTCACCGAGTGCACTAATATATATAGAACTCTGCAATCGTGGCCTTATTCTCAACAACTGTGGCAGTCCACAGAGACCGCTGGAGTTGGCAAGGTTAGCCATAAAAGATTGGTGAACATGATTGGATGTTGTGCTGAAGGCGATGAACGACTGTTAGTTACAGAGTACATGCCTAATGATATGCTGTCTAAGCACCTTTTTCACTGGTATAAGAAGCCCCTGCCATGTGAAATGCGTCCAAGAGTTGCATACCACATAGCACGGGCCCGTGACCACTGTAATGCCAAAAATAAGAAAATCTATCATGACTTAAATGCCTGCAAAGTTCTTTTTGATGAGGATGGTGATCCTAGGTTGTCAAGTTTTGGCTTGATGAAGAATAGTTGGGATGGGAAGCGTTATAGTACAAAGAGTTTTTGAGAACAAGCAGGGTCATTCAAGAGAGTGCCATCTACAGTTGTGGAACAGTTCTTCTCGATCTTTTGAGTAGAAACCTTATCCCGCCTAGTCATGTACGATGCATCCTTTTGGATCTTTTATTGTTTATTGAGATGAGGTCAAAAGTAAATTGATTGGAAAAATGTACTTAAAAAAAAAAAGTTAATTAATTTGTCCTCTTGGAGATTGATTTATGTGCTACTACAGGCTTTGGATTTAATAAGAGGCAAAAACATCTTACTGCTGATGGACTCTGCTGATGGACTCATCTCTGGAAGGGCAATATGCTAATAAAGATGCAACTGCATTGATCGAGCTCGCCACAAAGTGCCTTCAGTATGAAGCTAGAAATAGGCCTGATGTTAAGTTTCTTCTTACTGCAGTTGCACCCCTTCAAAAGCAGATAGAGGTTGCTTCGTATGTTCTAATGGACCTAGTGAAGAACCCTGTGGTTCTACAGCAAGAATGGATCTTCAGTGCACGACATTTTGCTGAAAAAGGGTTATAAAAATGAAGAGGGTGCGGAAAATGAGCATTCGTTCAAAGAATGGACACAGCAAGTTAAAGACATGCTGAACACGAAAAAATCCGGAGATATTGCTTTCAGGGACAAGGACTTCAAGAGCACCATCGAATATTATTCCAAGCTGGTATAATGATGACAGTACCATTTGGGACGATATCCGTGAGATGGGCCCTCTCCTACTAGATTATGGGTCAGCCCGAACTAGCCCTTAGAGATGCCATGCAGGCCCTGAGTGGCCCACGGCCTACTAATTACAGGCTCTTGCCCTATCTAAGCTAGGGATGGAGACTGATGCTCACGACATGCTCAATGATGGAACCACCTTTGAGGCTAAGCAGCTAAACAGCTGGCGAAACTAAAAAAAATTTACTCCGAAATCTCGGTTTGTTTTTGTTAATCATCAAAGTATAACATGCTGTAAGATGGGCAGTGTTTGGATGATGGGATTTTCTAAAGTGTCGATTAAACTTGGCTGTGATTCTGAAAACTCACAGTTAAAATGCTAATTGCTATGTATAAATCAATTTAACTAGGCAAAAAATAATAATAATAACAATAACTTACGATAATCTCCTTGGATTTTTATTTGGGACAGTGCATCCGGATCAGCCATACGAAATGAAAAAGTATCCGGAATAGCAGCCATCTACAATTTCAATCGCAAGTTTGCACGAAAATCAACAATTACAAAGAAAATTATAAAGGAAACAGAGTGAGAAAGATTTGTAAAGACAAATCAGTAGATGAATAGTTCAATACCTCTCTTGGGCAATTTATCGAACACCTAAAGGATGATGCTTATGCTGTTCAATGTAGCCCACCGAAAAGAAACACCCAAGACAACAATTGAAGGAACTCCTGCATAAGAATGAAATTGAAACTTGCGTAAAGTTTTTCGACCTATTTTTGTTAAAGATTAATTATGATATCAAAGATTGCTACTTTAACAATAAGCAATTAATGTAAAGAACAGCGGGTAGCCTGAGAAGAAAATTCGTGAAAGATATTCCACTAGATTTGTACGATGATAACAATACTCGTAATCTCAATTGAACTAAGTCATCGCGAATAGGAAAGAAACACAAGCTCCAATCTCCATTTATGAGCAGCCCGTGAGCTTAAAAGGGAAAATGTTTATGTGCTACTAACAAAGCTTACATGATTCCATATTTGAACCATTGGACTGAGTAGTTGTTCAATTGCAATTGCAGAGGGCAATGATTTCCATCAATTATTTCATGTTAGATCTTGTGTAATTCCCTTGCAGTTTTAATCATTTTGAACCTGTAGCTGAAAAGTGTTAAATTTACAAAATGTTTTGAGAGTAGACCATATTAGCATTGAGCCATTACAAAACTTGAGAAAGACCAAGAGATGGCTAAAACATTTTGTAAACTCAACACTTTTCAGCTACATATTCAAATGATTAAAACTAAAACTACAAGGAAACTAACCAAAATCTAACCTTTAATAGTAAAAAAAAAAAAAAGAGTATTGTGCTGGAAATCCTTGCCGCAATTGAAGAACTATTCAGTCCAATGCTCCAAATATGCCTGAAAGCTAAACATAACCGGTTAATTCCGAGATAACTTTAGCAAAATTTAACAAGGCACTTGATTTCAAATAATCATACAAACAAAATTCTGAAATATCATTGCACACTCGACTTCCATAGCTCAAGACTGAAACAGGTATTCAAGTTCTTCATCTTTTTAGGATAAAAACCAAAGCCAGCTTAGGAAAATGGAAATCGGTGAGTGAGAGACACATTCGTAGTTCCTTTGTTACCGAAAAGACTTGTACTTGATAGAATAGGCGATTTTCTCTTTGTTTTCATCAAATCGACTTCCAATAAACGATTGAATCGAGTAAAAAAAAAAAGAAAAGGGCAGGGAACATCATAATCATACCATTCAAAAGGCTATCATCCCAGGTTAGCCTGCTCTGTAGTTCAAGCCATTCTCTAAAAAAGAAAAAAATAAATAAACAAGCAGTTCTTGGTGATCTTTATTATAAACCTTCAGGCTTCCACAAAAAACAACAATCAAAGATTAGCACCAATAATACCCAACTATCATACTAAAGCAAAGCAGGTCAATCAAAAAAAAAAAAATATATATAT